TCATCCTATTAACATCTGCTCAAAATTCCCTACCTCCCAGCACAGCTAACAGAGAATGACCGTGTTGTCCTTGGTCAGGCTCCGTGCAGTGGATGTTGACACCTGGTTTATTGTTGGACAGATTCCATTTCCCTCTTTACTTTGTTTTGACCTTATTTCACCCCTGGAAGCTCAGTTTCAGCTGGGGATGGATGAATGAACTGGGAAGCATTGTGTCCACTGCCGCTGTGGCAATTTCTGTGGGTTACTGCCCAAATAAGTCATTTCATTCCTATGTTAGAGAGGCCAGTTCTGACCTGTGGAGAGATTCCAGCAGCCCTTGTGAGGATGTGCCCATAATGGAAGCACCATCTTTGCAAAGCAATAGAAAAGGACAAGGGTCTACTGGGCAGATTCAACAAATCACTGTCCTTATGGCTGATGTAACAGAGGATTAGGAGCTTTAAAGTCATGGAAAGAGGATGAACTATGGCTTTGACTTCAGTGATAACTCAGTGGATATTGGGTGATGGGAGTACCATGTCAGCTTTCTGATTGTAAGAGATCATGCCAATAGGGTTAAGTTAGGAGGGGAAAGAAACAAGGAAATTGGAGCTAAGTGTGCATCAGTGTAGAATTTAATAGCCAGGTGTGGGATTCACTGTTTAAAATCCTGTCTGAAGGACATAACCTCTTATGAAAGGGAAGAAACTGTGYTGGTTCCTTTGGTTTTCCCCTGAAGCCCAGCCCTGCTCCAGGGCTCTGGCAATGCAGAGCTCTGCAGCAAACACTGCTCATCCAACCTTTACAGGCTGCTTTGGGRCTGGGAGCACAGACCTGCCCTCCAGTGGTGCCAGAGCCTCTGCTGAGCCCCGCTGCAAAGCTGCTGTTTACAAATGTGTTGGATCATCTTTTACAAAAACAGCCGCAAAAAGGCCTCTCAGCAGTCAACATGCCTTCAAAACACCCTCAGAGCCTGGTGATGTATTGGGCACATCCTTCCTGCTATAACATTTTATTGCAGAAAATCTTGCCTAAGACCCTTTTTACACCATTTTGGCTGCCTCYTGCTAGCTGGTCAACATTCTCATCTTCCCATCTGCCAGAGAGGCCCCTTGGAAAGGATTCAGCTCCACCAGGCAGCTGTAAGCAGGGGAAGAGGATCAAAGGGCACAAAGTTGACCTGCAGCAGTCCAGTGGGGTCTCATGTAGATCAAAGGGTGCATCCACGGTCAGAGCCTGACTTCTGTGACTTTTTCAAGAGATAACTTAGCAGAAGTGTCTTTATTACAGCTTCATCTGTGTGTGTTTGAATGTGTTTATTAGTTAGGGGAGGAAGGTGTGGGTGCTGTGCACATGTTGGATATCCTTTTTGCATTTCTTATAAATTGACTCTTTTTCTGTGATGAGGCGTGTCATGAAGATCTCCGAACAAGCAACTGATGTTGCAAGGCAGAGGAGGGGATTTTAGACCTCAGGCAAACATGTTCATTCTGCCCTTGTCTTGCTGGACTGCCCYCTCCTCTTCCCCAGCACTGCAATTTTATCTGAAAGTGWTGATCATGCTCCAGGAAAGTGAGGYTGTGCCAGAACTCTGCCCACCCATGCCARTGCCCAGACAACAACCTTCCTGCTCTGCCTCATCAGCTGAGTTTTTCCAGTGCTGACCAGTGTCACAAGCTCAGGGCTCTGTCATTTAACACGCAGCATGATTTGCTTGCCAACAGTTCTGATKAGCAATGATAGGAAACTAAATTTATTATGTCTGAAAAAATGCAATTAGGATTTCTCAAGACTGGAATTTTGTGTAATTTTGCCAGGTTTTAATAACAACTTTAAAGTTTTGGCTTACAGCCTGAACTCTGCTTTGGCTGCTTTGCTGTGGGGATGTTGCAATAGGTCTTRCAGCATCCAGAGTGCTGCTGGCACAGTCCTGCAGCAGTTCAGGATGTGTCCAGTTGCTCTGGTTYCTCAGTGCTGCTGTAACATTCATTTCTTTCCAACACTCCCGTTTTCACACTGGGCCTTTGGTGACTTTGGCAGTGCAAAAGGGACATCTAGTGGGCTGATGGGAGAGTGGGGACTGTTCAGGGCAACAGGAAAGAGCCAAGTTCCAGTCAGAGATTGGACTCTGGGGAACCCTTGAGYGTTACACACCAAACTGYATTTGAACATTTCAATATACAGAATTGGCCTTGAGTCTGGAGGCGTGAAATTCCAAAATCTGAGTTTTTAAAAATATTCCTGATGCTTTTCAGCAGTGATRGAAAACAGGAGAGTGTACAGAAGCAGTCAGATTTGGCACAGTTGTGGAGCTGAGCTGGAAGGTTTTTGCTTTACTAACTCAACTTCCCAAGCCTGCAGCCACTATAGTATAGACTCCTCCTTAGTATGGACCCTTGGAGGACAAAGTTGGGGGGAAAATGGTGATTTTGATTCTGTTGGCTTCCATTGTTTAATTCAGGAAGGTAGATTTGTGCCCAGTGGTTCCAGGACAGTGAGGAGGGAAGGTGAGGCTCTGTCCTCTGGGGCAGCTACAGTGTGCACGTGACAGGAGATAGGAATGGCTTTGTTCTTACCACTGATATTTGCTGGCCTGTCACACGTCTCCAGTATCCAATCTGCAGTATTAGGATTATTTTAAGCCCTGTGTGAGGAAAGATTGTGAAACTCATGCGAGTGTACATTGTTCTTTGAATGAAAAGCAGACTTTCACTGAGGTACTTCGGTGCATGGTTCTCTCTGAACTGTTTGTAGAAAGATACCCAGGACTGTTTTGTGAAAAGTGTACAAACAAATATATAATGAGTGGACAGGAAGGTCCTGCTGAGTACCCCAGACCTACTTTCYCCTTTTCCCCCTAATCCAGCTTGTCCACTGCTGCCCCATTTCCATGGCATGCATTTCCGGCTTGCAAAGGTTCCTGCTCCAGGCTGAGAATAGAAGCCTTGCTGTTATGCTGTCCTTAAATCTCTCATAATGAGTGTTACACCAAGGAAAGCAGCTGTGTCCTTTGGCTCTAGTTTTAATACTATGTTAAAGAGCAGATTATGGTGACGTTGAACGGCCGAGATGTGGAGGTAGCACAAACCATGACCAGTTTGGGGAAGGCTTTAGCAAGGATGACTAAGGGCTTGGAGCTTATGCTTTAGATAACAAATCCACCCAATTGTGCTTATTTGCAAATGTAGTCAAGCCTAACAAATCAGGGCCTTAACAGAGTTGCATTAGGGTCCTTTAATTGGACTAAGCTGGTTAATACCCACATTGGCTTTTGTATGCCCAGGGTCCAGCACAGGAATGGTTTGCCATTTATGCTGGCAAAATCTCATCAAATTGCAACCATGAACATGGATGAAATTCARTTCTAATATCCTCACAGGTAGACAATGGATTAAGGTATTTTGATTATTTTAAGGAAGTTGGATGTAACTTTTCCCTCAGTCTGTCTAGTGTGCCACAAGTCATAGCTCTGTCCAGGGTTTGGGGTGTCATAGGTCACACAGCAGAGCAGGAACAGCAGGGCTGCACAAGACCCCAGCTTCTGGGGGAGGACCTCCACTTTCTCTGTGTGTGGGCATGTCATGCTGATTCTGTTTTATGAAAGCTGAGCAGGTCCTTCAGGTAGTCCTAGSATCCATAAATTAGCATGGATAGATGTGTTTTCCAAGTGTTGTGAAGTGTTGCACTACAGCAGTGCCTGGCTAAGAACGGTGCTTTGTTGCAGTGTTAATTGTACAATGATTCATGTGTTAGTTGCTGGGATTTGGAAAAGGTGAATTGTTGGGAGCATAATTCACACAGGTGAAGCAAAAATATTCTGAGCAGAAAGATTCTGCACATGTCAGTGTTTTGTTACATCCCTGACAGCAAAACGAGTCTAAGGAGACAGAAATGAGTTCCAGATGGTTGCGGTAACTGGCAAGAAACTAATACTGAGGCTGATCTTGAGATAACAGACTGAGGACACCAGAGATGAAAGTGGGGGCAGGGTGGTCCAGATAAGGTTGATAACACATGATATATCATCTTTGGAGCATTCCAAGGCAGGACAGTGAGATGAACCATTTGTTCCTCRACTACAGAGTCTGGGTGGTGAAAAGGCTCTTGCTGTGGCTGTGAACATTGAGAACATTGAGAAAATACCTTCTGCTTCTGCACCGAAGGTAAAACCCCTGTATCCCATTTCCCTGCACATGTCCCATCAGGCTCTGTTGCCCTGCAGGGGTACTGAGGTGATACAGATTATTCACTGTAGGATTGCTCCTGTTTTCCTCATGTGCAGCCTGGCTCTGCCTGCACCAGTTCCTTGCTATTTTGCATGTTTCTTGTTTAAACTAGGAATTTGTCTGGCATCTTACCTGTGTTCTATTTTTAGTTGTTAGTGAAGGGTGAGGCAATATCCTTAATTCTCATTACAACTGCTTTAATCCAATTGTGATGTGGATTTGCAGGGACTTAGTAGGTCTCGGCTGAGTGCGGGCTCTGTCTTTTTCCAGTTACTGTCATTAAACAATGCACGCTGATAACTTTTTCCACTTCTAAAACTGAACCCATGTATCTAAAGGTGGTGAGATTTGGTGCCTGTGTTTTGCAGATACCTCTGGTGATCTCTAATTTCCTCAATTAGGAAGAGGATCACTACATTTTGTGAGTTCACCTGTGTGGGAACACCCACCCCTTGATAAGACCACAGTAAATACTAAAGTGGACTAACTCTTTGGGGTTAACAGAGTGCTTTTGTCTTATTTCTCTATGAACAAAGCAGCTTCTCTCAGAAAACTGCATTCGWTCCTCCTGTGGAATTTATAAATGTGAGCTGATAGGATGCTCACCATSCTCCAAACAGCCTCTGTCCCAAAGCAGTTCTGAGCTCGTGTCCCAGCCATGGGGGCCACCCCAGGTGTGTTATCTGCATTACAGGGGCAGAGAGAACCCCAGGGCCCCGTTTGGGCGGAGCGCTGTCCCGGTGTGCCGCTCGGGCGCAGTCCGCTCCGCGCGATCCAGGCGGGTTTTGGCGCGCTCCGAGCGCGGGGCAGCGCGGGCTGCGGGACTCTGTCCGCGGGCTCAGTGCTGCTCCGGCCCGGCCGAGCTTGGGGCGAGCGGCCGGCATGGCCAGAGCCCGCCCCGCACCGTGATGTGGCCACAGGAGGGGCTTGCTGSCCTCCAGCTCCTGTCTCTCCCCGAAGGGGTTTAGAACAGCCACTCGACACTTGTCATGGAATTACAGAAAACTACCTCCAGGCCGTACAATGCTGCTCTCCTGCTGCCACTCTTCCTCTTGTTTTGGGGTAAGTTTTTGTCTTCTGTGCCTGATTCTTACACAGCTGCTATGAAGCAACTTTGGATTGAATCTGTGACCTGCCCTAATACTGAGCGAATTGTCATCTTATGGTTAGATTTGAAGCCTGAAAACTTTTGTCTGGAAAATTAACAGGCATTTCATTTTAGATATGTTTTTCCTTCTATTTTTTTTTGTCTCTTTTCATCTTTTTCCCTGTGCACATGTATGTATGCATTTATTCACAAGAGCTAAAAGTAATTAAGTATTCATCTATTATAGTAACATTTTTTTCCATTGGAAAGGTCTGAGTGTTTTGGTTGTGCCCATACAGAAGAAACACAGACCTTTATTTCTATCCTDTACGCTCTAGAAATACATCTGGGCACAAGAGGATTGTACCCAGGGGAGTGTAGTGCCAGATACATCTGGTACAAAATGTGGTGGGAGATCACATCACAGGAATGYCTCCATTTAGAAATTTTCAAGAAAGCAGAATCATCCTCAAAGTGCAAGAAGTGATGAGGTAACARAAGAGTCTATCACACTGGTGGGGGGTTTGTTTTGTTTTATATTTTTTTCCACATTGAAAACTTATTTTATAGCTAAAGAATATACTTGGGTACAATGGGATTCCCCAAGTTCCCAAGACCATGTCTTTGRGTTCCATTGTCACCCTTGTTTACGGTATCTTCTGTTCCCTTAAGAATTGGTATCTCTGTTTCTTCTGGAATAGGTGCCTAGAGATCTTCTGGGCCTAGACATCTGTTTTAGTCATYTAAGGATTATAAGGTCATGTCAGGAACACGTCCAGGCTTTTACTGGAAAGTATGATTGGGATTGAACTGTCTCCTTATCCTGCCCTCTGCACTGCCAGGCCAGTTACCTGTAGGTACAAGTCAGGTTTGGTTTCCGCTGAGCAAGGACAGGGATGATCCAGGACATGAAAAGGTGGATGTAGAATATGGAGAACATTGAGTAAATACAGTCAGAGCCTTTTSTCTTCTTGTGTCTGCTGAACACAGCACTTGGCGTTTTCTTGCATTAGTAGGTGATGTTGATGTAATTTTGGAGATTTGGAGAAAGTTTTCTGCATTTCCTTTGATTCCCCAACAATCTCTTTTTCCCTTCTGAAACCTCCYAATATTTCCTTTGCTCTGACCACCTCAGACTATGAATGTGGAAGTCAAAATATGTTGTGATTTTTGTCTGATTTTCTTTTTCTTTCTCTTCATTGTACCAGCTTCTTTGTSTGGTGTGTTTGCTCCAAGTGCCTGGAATTCCTCTGGCCACAGGGAAGCAGCAGGACTGTCTTTTGTATCTAGTAACCATAGCTACTGGTTTGGAGTGTGAAGCAATTATGTGGCTTTGTGTTGGGCAGAAGCAAGGCGGGTTGCATGGATGGCTCGCCTGTGTGTGGCTGCCAGGCCTGGCTGTGGTTTGGGGGGTTTGTGCTCTTTGACCACTGCACTCATGGCTTTTCTCTCCTGGAGGAAGCTCCTCTCAGGAGCACTGGTTTACTGAGAATGTGGCTTTATTCCGAGTGCAGGTGGATGACTCTKCTKGCTGGAGCCAGCAGGGATGGAGGAAAGCACTGATTTTCATATCTTTCCACCTGCTCCTATTTTGCAAGGGAAATTCTGCCAGATTTTAACTGGAGTGAATGGTGCTATTTAGATAGCATTTGTAGGTTTTAAAGGCCATAAAGAAATGTCTTTGCTTGCCCTTATGAACCATATCACTACTTCTTTCTAATTGACTGCATCGAAATGTCATTGAAGCAGAGATTGCCTAAGTGATTTGTTCATATTTTTTGTGGAAATTCTGAGCATGCAGTTTGCCTGGTGCAATCTGTAACCATCAGGGCAACCTGCAGCCAGATCCTCACAATCTCCAGTTGTTTAAAGGAAACCCCTSAGGGCCAGCAGTGCAGGCTCTGCCTGTGACTCTCCTTTTACTGCTTCTGTCTGTGTAAAGGAAACACAACAGCTCCYAGCTAATTCCTTGTCTTTAAAGGAGATTCTGGAGGGCAAAAGGAGTGTCTTCTCATTTCTGCTCCCACAGCTCCAGCCATCAGCAGGCACAGGAATTCACATACCTTTGGCCTGGAAGATGCTTTGGAGGGCTGCTGAGGGAGAGCATGTGCAGGACAAACCTTTTATGCTGTCAGCTCTAATGCCTGCTCTTGAGATTAGCTCGGACAAAGGGACAGTTTAAGGCTTACTTCAAAACCGGGAAACAAACAAACCCAGTCTTTCCAGCTGTTTTGTTCATTGTCAGTATATTTAAATAAGAATTGGAAATTAAAGCCTGTGACTCACTCTGGTGAACTGAATACACAGGAAAGTCCCTGTCCCAGTGTTTGATCTGTGGAAATGGCTGAGAGATCAGAGAATGTGTGAAACATGAAGGTCTGCTTGGAGGAGTGCTTATTAAGGGAAAATAGTGGGATGTCCTGARCATAGAAGATCAAAGGGTTACTGTGGCAATATATTCAATGCTGCCATAAACCAGGGATTCATAGCTCTTGCCTTTCTCCCAGTTCTAGAAGCATGATAATAGAAGTTACACCTCCRAATCTGCAGTAAAACAGTGAAGAGATGGTGAACATAAGCTAGCTGGCTTCTTGTTCTGTGTAAAGATTAAGTTCAATTCCCTGAAGTGATATTTCTGACTAATGCTGTTAATGCCTCGGGCTGTGATGTTGGCACTGCTGGGCAGTGGATTGGTGCCCACYGTTTGGCACCCTTTAACAATTCATTGGGCAAGCTGGGGGGAGAGAGCCAAGAATTGCCATCCTCYTTCTTCAAGGGGGTAAATATTCTGYATATTTTACAAGCAGAACCTGAGCCACACTTCTTGTGCCTGAACGAATTTAAGTCTAGGTCCAGGCCTTCATAAATTCTGTATAAATATTTTACACCAGTAGATTGTGAACGTGTATCTGGCATGAAAAACCCCGTCGCACCAAAAACCTGGTGTACAAATGTGGTGTTGAATTTGGTCTCCAGTAATAAAAAGAAATAATGTCAGAAGCAGTCTGGGAAATGATGGACACACAGTATCTGGGTAAAACTGTAATTTGGCTTGTGTGCAGGGACATCAGGAGATGTCTKAAGTTTGGTATCCAAGGTGGTATTTGGCTGAGATACTGGGCTTATGTGTTTCACCTACCAAAACCACAATAGACACCAAAGCTGTGAATAGTAAGGCTCTTTTTAAAAATTACTTTTCCAAATGACACTCTTGGCATTGCTGGGATCCCTGGCRTCTTGTCAGGCCATTTATTCAGTATGGTCTTAGAAGTCCTGCCTGCTGATTGCCAACAMTGCTTTTGGATTAGCTAATCTTTATTTTCAGGGTTTGGGTTTTTTGGTCATAGTGCCATGTCTTGTTCACATAAATTATCAGATCTGATAAGCTGAGACAGTAACAATAAAGTTTAGCTTCAGCCAGCAGATATATCTCAGAGTCCTTTCTCCCTTTAAAAGATGGGGAGGAAGAACTGGACTCTAGGCTCCAAAGTTACCAAGTAAAGCTGGGCGTTGCAGCTGGAAAGCTGCTGCAACTTGGAGGTTTAGTAATTGTGATCAAACATTGGTATTTTGGAGGGTTTCCCATTCCCACATYCCCTTTTCTGAGGCTAAATGGAAAAGCCTGCTGTTATAGTAGTTGTCACAAGTGCCATTACTGTGTTAAACAGGACAGGGAATACAGGTTATGGAGTATTTTAGGCTGGGTGAAATAGTGCTGCCAATTATTAGCATGTCATGAGCTTGTTGGCAGTCTCAGAGAGTTTCAGGCCTTGTTTCCTGGTACTGGTATTACTCAGAGCAGGTGCTTAGCTCAGATCTGCATAGAAAGGGTTTAATCTCTGTGTGTCAAGAAGGAAATGGGGCTTGTGAAGTCCTAGGGATGTGTAAGGCCACCTGAAGAGGCCTCATACCCTCCCTGAACAGGTACATGAAAGGTGTTTCCTAAAGAAGGATTTGGTTTTATCTTGCCATTCCCTTCCAAGGTGAGCAGGGGTGGGGAGCARAGAGGGTGAATGTGAAAGCCCCTTTTCAAGGCTGTGCATTTTCCTTTCTGGTTGTGTGGATCCTGGGAACAGGCCAAAGTGTGTCCCCTTCCACTAATCCTTTACACTGACCAGGATAGGGAAAGATCAGCAGAGGTCAGCAGGGATTTACTAATATAAGCACATGCCTTCCTGTTGTCATGGAGACCTAACACTCCATTCCTTTATTCAGAGTTTATTTAGTAGTTGTGTTGCTCTGAATCCCTTCTRGTGGAAGGTTCCCTTTCTACCCTTGGCCTCAGGATCTTCCTCCAGTGGGAGRTGTGCTGGGATGAGCAGCAGGAGCCCAACCTGTCTGGTGAGAATTGCCCCAGGCTGGGGTTTGGCCAATCCATAGTTGGGAACATGGAGATCCCTCAAGCTCCACTATTGTTGTGGTGCASCTGGGACCTGTGGTGCTCTGGGAATCCTGCTGTTCTCACTTCTTGGTTGTAAATTGAGGTTTTTTTCAGTTGCTGTAGTGAATAGTGCAGGTGAAATACATCTGAAACGCTTGTTTTTACTCAAGGTGGATCTGGCTTGTCCAAGCTCACATTCAGGAAATAACATTATGGCCTCCTGACTCTTCTGGGGGCTGTGTCTGTGGTTAGGAGCATTTTGCAGGGTTTGTGCACAGGTGATGGTACCTTTTCATTTTTCACCCAGTGCATATGCATGAACAGGTATTTGGGGATGGGGATTTCCAGTCGGTTCCACTGCCTCTGCTTGGTTATTTTTTTTCTGCCCTTCAGTACAAAGGAAACAAGGTAATCTGTGAGCTGATAACCCCAGTGCTGCCTATTCCCTGCTGGGATTTTACGTGATCATTAAGACACCTTTAAGGTAGTTATCAGTGCAGCACTGAGCAGCTTCCACAAGGTCAGGTGTGTCCCCAGATTGAGAACGTCCATCCTCTATCAGAGTTACCCGAGACTTTGAAAAAACAAACTTGTGAAAAGCAAACCCCCAAAACAGAAGCCAGTGGGTAATGCTAAAACAGCATCTCCAAGCAGAGAAGTAATTGCCTAACTTCTCATTAATTTCTGATTTTTTGTGGTTAGAAAACTCGCTGTTGCAGCTTTGACAAGGTGATATTGTAAAGGTAAGCGTAAGATTATTAAAGTAAATTATTAAAACAGAGCCTGGTAAACTAGCTTGTTTGCCTTCAAATGTCACAAAAGGTCACACCCTKCATGGTTTGGGGAAAATCTTTGTCAGCTACCTTTAAAGTGTAAAACCAGCCCTGTCCTGACAGAGCKCAATGAATGCTTTATATGGGACTCTGGTAGCCTTTGAAGTTGCTCCTAATCCACCCCTAAATGCCTGGAACTGTTCTTCAAAGGATCTGTAGTCTCCTCCAATTTCAATTCAGAGTAGGCTTGCAGGAAGGTAGGACTGTAATACACTTCTAATGGTTTTTATCTTACAAACATCACTAATTCATATTTTTCTTAAAGGAAAACTCCTGAATGTCATTGTTAATCCAACCACAACTACTTTTGTGAAAAACTATAARCTCTTGTCATTCAATGTTTTCCTTGACCTGATTTTCACTGTGTTCATGGAGCAGCATAGTCTGAACTACATGTTTTCATGGTTCTTATATTGTGAAACAGGGAAAGCTAATTTATTCATTTTTCTTATTAGCATTTGGTGCATATTCATGTGCCATTCACATTCATATAATAATCTATTCAAAAATTAACAGCAATAACTGGATGYCCTAGGTCTGATGGTTGAAAATAAMAAAATCAGAAGGCCYCATGTTTGCCACACATCTCTCTATAAGAGACAGGCTTTAGTGACTGTACAGACCATTGGGCATGGCAGCCATATGATGGACCAAAACAGAGAAGGTACAAAAAGGTGTGTCTTTGTGAAAGAACTTTGGGAAAGGCAGGAAATAGYAAAGGCATTTGATGTTTGTCTTTATTTGCAAAAAGCATTTTGCCTGTGTTCTTCTCATGGTAGCAGAAAGCCGTGCATGAGCCTTGGCAGTGGCTCAGCCTGGCCATGCCCRCAGTGCCTGGGGATTCTGTGGAAATGTGAATTTCTTTGCAGATGSAGTGTGCTGCAGCTCCTTCCCAAGATGCACCAGACTCAGGCTCCTTTTTTATCCCAAACTCTGCTTCTGGCCTGTGGAAAGTGCACAGGCTGGGGCGGGTTACTCATTAAGCCTACAAAGKCTCATATCTCCTGCCTAGTAAAGCTCTTTTGCAAATAGTTTCCTGGGCTTCCACTCTAATTGCCACAGAGATTCCAGGCAGATTCCGTCATCCTTGTTTTCTGCCTGACTGGGAATCTGAGAATAAAAGGGTTGATGGCAGAATAATGGGATTTCTGGACAGTGCAGGGCTCAGCAGCTCTCCCCAGCATCACATGAGAGGGGAAGGGAGGGGTGGGCCATGGAGATGATGCTGGGAAGAGAAAGGGCTGCCTAAATCCCTTAGCACCCTCCCTCCCCCAGCAGCACGGCCCCTTAAAAGACTTAGAAACACTACAGTCTTTGGTGGGAGGAATTTGGGGGAGGTCAGGGCAGGGGCAGGCTTTTGTAAACCCAAGTCTCATACAAATCCCTTTCAGGCCCTGAAGTTGGTGCCCTCCACCTTCAGGTACAAAGAGGCTGAGGAACTGATGGAGCAGATAGAGCTCCAACACAGATTAACTACCGAGGTGTAAAAGGTGCACCAGAGCAAGGCAAACGTGACCAAAATTGGGCTGGGATAATGCTGGCACAGTGACAGAACRTGGAAGGTCAGCTGAGGAGCAGTGCTGTGGTGTGTGATCCTGGCAAGTCGTTAGCATGGAGCATGGCAGGGTAAAGCAACATTCCTCATGGGGCAGGGAGGGCTGAGGGAGCTGCAGGGATTTGGGATCCTGCCCTCTCTCCACCTGCAGCTTTGTGGGGTTTACAGAGACTGAGGCCTATCACTACCTGGGCCACAGAGACATAGAGAGAGCAGCAGGAAGGGTGAAGAGCTGCTTACCCARAGGCTTTGAGTGATGCCTTGACTTCCAAACCAGAGAAGTCTGGACCAGTAGCGATTTCTCAGATACCATTTGCTCCTTCATGAGTTTTTTTATTTTTAATAAGATGTATCCTACATAATCTCATTCATAGAAACTAAATTTGCAGTTCAGTGGGCACCTTCCATCACATTTCTGGATTGGTGGAGCTGCTTAATGGGGCAAGACCCTTTTAAACTCTGCCCTTGTGGGGAAGGCAGGGCATTGTGGCTCAGTGTGAATTAACTGATCTCATCCAAATGCTCCCAGATTTAGGGGAATCTGGTGTTAACCGGTTCCTGGTATCTTGTTGTTAGACTGGTGTTTTGGCTCAGCAGGTGCTGAGTGTTTGGATCTACAATGCCATCAGCATAATGAATCTCAGCAGTTTCTGATCTTCATTGCTAAAAAATGTCCTGCGGTGTCAATTTACATGTCTAACATGGGCAGAGGATGAGGGTTAGTGGTTATCAACCTGAGCTGCCTGATGTAATCAGAGACTGTGTGAAATGTGCCCATTTGCAGTTTGCCTTGGGTTATTTATGGGAGCATCTTCAAATCACTTCTGGATTAGCTGAGAAAAAAATGTATCCCCCCAAGGAATAGCTGGGACATACAGAGCCACAGAGCAAACACCTTGGACTCATCCTGCCCCTCTGGATTTCCAGGCACAAGTACTGTGCCCGGCCAGTGAAAGGGGTCATGGAATTTTACACKAAGTTAATCTTGTGAATGGATTTAAGGTGATGCGTGTCACTGCTCTCAAAGTGACTCATGGATGAATAAGCATGAGTGAAATAATTGGTTTGTGAGTGTCTCCTAAAAAAGCAGGTACCTGGTTACCCAGTTWGGCAAGAGATTCCTGATTGCCACCAAATGAAGGGTTCTTATGTTGTCTTCTTTGTAGTAAATGTTTGATTCTCCATTATCCTTCTCTGGAAGGCTAGAACAGCTTTTTGGAGTTTGGAATTTAGGTGGCAATCTCCAAGTTGTATGTGGGGATCAACAGAACTTTTTTCTTTAGAGTTACAAATGCTGACTAACAAAAAGTCTTTTCTCAACAGGAACTTCATACTCTGACAATGACAGTGGCTGTTCCTCATCCCCCTGTGAGAATGGGGGGAGCTGTAAGGATTTGGGAGTGGGTTACCAGTGCATCTGCCCCGTGGAGCCTGTAGCCTACATGGGCGTAAACTGTGAACTGCTTTATGATGCTTGCATTAAACATGACTGTCCTGCCCACATGAGCTGCATCCGGACTCCRGGACTGCTGGAATATGAATGTGTGTGTACACCTGGCTCCACGGGCRCTGCCTGTGACAATGTGGACGAGTGTGAGAGCAGCCCTTGCACAGACCCTCGKTTTGAATGTGTAGACAGCATGAGTGGATACACCTGTAGGTGTAGGGGAGAAGGCTGCCAAACAGAAAGCTCCGCCTGCTCCAGCCAGCCCTGCCTGAACAACGGCACGTGTGTCCCGGCTCCGGGCGGCTACAGCTGCCTCTGCCAGCCCGGCTTCAGCGGCGCCACGTGCGGGGACGACATCGACGAGTGCGCGTCGGGGCCGTGCCGGAACGGTGCCATCTGCAGGGACAGGGCGGGCGAGTACAGCTGCTTCTGTGTGCCCGGCTTCCAGGGCTCCAACTGCGAGATCGACATCGACGAGTGCGCGTCCCGGCCCTGCCACAACCGCGGCACCTGCCTCAACCACATGGACCACTACGAGTGCCACTGCGTGCCCGGATACACAGGTACTGCTGGCACCCGGGGCTCCTGTGCTGGGAGGAACTGCCCCACACAGTCCCTCCATTCCCGCAGTGTTTGGGGCTCTCTGGTGATAACGGTGTAGGGCTGCTGGCAGTTATTTCCAGGCAATCCCTGAGGCCTTGAATTCCTTGTAGGTGTTGAGAGAGTARGGTCCAAGAGTGGACAGCCTTGAGTACTAGACACAAAGTAGCTGTGMTTAGTTCTCAGCATGGAATTAACGGAGGTAAACATAAAAAATTATTTAACATCATTAAATGGATGCTTAGTGTTTCCAGGTGTAACTTAAAACTGCCGACCTGGCCTCTAGTTCTTTGTTGCATGGGGTACTTGTCTTTTTGAAAAAAGTGTATTTTAGTTGGAGATTTCAATTCTGTCATGCCTGGTGAATATTTATTTGGCATATGATTTAAGTATTWCTCTTTTGTGCATCTGAGCTAATGGTGACTCAGAGAAGAATGCACACCTGTGAGTTATCTGGGAGGGGGTGGGTCTCCTTCTTGCAGCCCTGCTTATCGGAGTGGAATGGGGTGGAATGTGTCCATGTCTGCCTGGTACCACCTCGCACATGAACTTTCTCAGCCTTCCTCCTGTTCACAGACTGAAGTGTTTAAGGAGGTGGGTTGCTGTGAAGGAATGCTGCTGATTACCAATGGAATGAGGAGAAGTTACAACATCAGGAATGCAGTCCCTGATGCTGAATCACTCTCTGATAAAAATGAACAGTGGAAAAAAGGCAGAATTTCTATGTGGGTCCTAAGGTTACTGGTGATTTTGAGTATCAAGCATAATTCTGTCTTTGCAAATCAGTTTCTTTTTTTATCTTTATGCTGAATCCTCAATTCAGGATTGTGAGATTCCCTGCCAAAGGAGTGATAAAGTGACCCAGGCAGCTGKAGGAGTTTGTTGTGCTTCAAATTAYTCTGATGTCAAACATGAGSCTTAGCCTTGTGATTAGTTCTTCATGCAGAGGTTTGAGCACCACTGGCTGGCCAGGCCARGTTGTTTCCTGGTGCTTGCAGCTGGAATTTGGGTGAAGGAAGTTTTGTGTGGGTATTGAGGGGTTTGAACCAGATTAGGGGGCCCACATTCCWCCAGGATTAGGATGACCATGCCCATTCTGTGAGGAGCCTTTGCCAAGGAGGGCAGATTAGATGGATTGATAGGTGCCACTGTAATGAGTAAGGTTTGGAGGTGATGCCAGGCCACGGGCTGCTCAAGGAGGTGGAATATAAATAAGATAATTGCATAGAAATCTTGCATGAGGTCTTGTTCTGTTAGAGAAGTTGGGACTTTGGCCCAAAAAGGTGTCATTTGTCATTATCTGTGACCAGGAGCCGTGGACCGAACATTAAATTTGGAATAGCACTTCCCAATAAAATCACTTAGTAACATCAGGTATCACTGCAATCAGTGTTTTGCGTTGCTTTGTTGCTTTTTCCCTGGGTATCACAAAGCAAGGTACAAACAGAATTGAAATAAATGGAACAATATTTTGGAGAAGGAGGTAGAGATCATTCTGGRAGCCAGCTGAGGTTGATAACATGACTCTTGTGATTCCATCTCAGAGTTCCAGGCAGCACATATACACTTTTCTGGATTTGTAACACAGATATTTTTCTGTTTTTTTTTTTTTAACAAAGGTGTGAACTGTGAAACYGAAATAGATGAATGTGCTTCAGACCCTTGCCAGAATGGGGCCCTGTGYAATGATCATGTCGGGTTCTACACCTGCACCTGTGCACCGGGTTATGGAGGAAGCCAGTGTGAGGTGGACATCAATGAATGTGAGAGCCAGCCATGCCAGAACAATGGGACATGTCAGGACCTCATTAACAGGTGAGARACCAGTGGTGGGGGGCAGTTRGACACCAGGACTGATCTAAAGGTCYAGTCAGTGCAACCTGTGAAAATCAGAATAGAAAGCTGTGGGGGAAATGGGATTGAGTATTTTGTACATCCCAGCGGCAGTAACAATGATTTGTGGCAATAAGGGAGAAGSCCCCTCCCAGCAGCAGWACTCCAGGGGTGCTTAAAGGAAGGGAGGAACAAACACAAAGAGAAGTGGTTGGCAGAGCATGAACAGCACAGGCAGCTGCTGAGAACATACCTGTGTGTGTGAATTTACCTTTCCACAGGTAAGGTGTGARCACAAGTGGGTGTGAGCACTGACAGCTGCGCTTTCGCCCTTTCCTCACCCRGGGCTTTGCTGTCCGAGGCAGAGCTGATGCTTTGCTCTGTTTGGTGCCCCACAGCTACCACTGTGACTGCAGTGACACCGGCTTTGAGGGGACCCACTGCGAGCTGGAGATCCTGGAGTGTGCCTCTGACCCCTGCCACAACGGTGCCACGTGCCTGGAGGGAATCAAGGGCTACAGCTGTGCCTGCTGGCCAGGTGGGCTGGGGCTGTGCTGGGGTGTTGTGTGGGGACCATGGACAGCATGTGCTTGATTGCTGTGTTGAAGAAATAGAGAATTAATGATCATACTGCACGGCCCAGAGTGAGTTTTCATTGTCTGGAGCTGTGAGGCTGCACTGCTACCCTTTACAGGTCATCCCAAAATCCAGTTGACCTGCAAAACACTCTGATTCTCAATTTTTCTTTCCTGCCATTTTCCATCACAAGTTCCTCTATCACAAAGTGATGCTTTCCTGCAAATTGATGATTTGTAGCTCCTGTATTTGACATAGTGGAGAAAATAGAGGGCCCAGGGACTCCCTGCCAGATGAGCTGCAGACTTGTGGGTGTTACTCTCACCCTCAAGGTAGCCACAATGTTTGGGAGCTGAGTTGCTGTGGAGCTGTGCACGATGCTGACAGTGGTGTCTCGTGGCAGGYTACACTGGGCAGGACTGTGAGGAGGATGTGGATGAGTGTGTGACAGAGCCCTGTCACAACGGTGGCCTGTGCCTGGAGCGCTCCAACCCAGCCCACTACGGGACACATCCCCACTTCCCCAGCAACTTCAGCTACAGCCAAGCAGCTGGGTTCCTGTGCCAGTGCCAGCCAGGCTTTACAGGTGAGCTGTACAGCAACAAAAATCACTTMAGGACTGGCTCTTCAGAGGGGGTGGCAGCTTGATGCATCAGGAATGTGCTTCTGCTCCCATTGCAGGCACCTGAATGTCATTGCCTGTCTCCAGGCTGGGGCAGCAGCCTGTGTATTTCCCCATGCTTCTGTGAATGCCCTCTGGCTATGCAGGTGCCAGGGTGTTTTCCTTTTGTCWGTCTGTCATGCATATGGCAGAATTCATCCCTAGGGATAGCTCTGAAATTCCTSATCAGAGGAACCTAATTCCCTGCGGTCACAGATTACTATTCTAGGTGTTCCATGGGAGACTATTCTCATTACAGCAACTCAGAGGGAGAAAAGAGGGGTTTATTGATATGGTGCTCTTGGAGCTAGAAGCTCTGTGGATGTTCCTCTGAAATATCACCCTTTCTGTGGATTGGAGATATGTATAAAATGCTGGATTTAATAGYTGGGAAATTCCCTGGTGGGAAGGTATAACAATGGGAGAACAGAGCACACAGACCTCTTTTAGCTGGCTCAAAGAAAAATCCTTTATTCTCAAAAAGCTGTGCCTCTTTATGATTTAATTTTCCTGATCTTGCCAGTGTTTGACATTGGAAAATAACTCCAGGCTTCATTTGGCCCCATTGTTTTGGAGCTGGTATCTGTGTGCTACTGTCTGCAGAGACATGCCAGAGTTCAAGAAGTTCTTACGCATTTTTAGGTGACAGAAAARAAGTGCAAAATTTATGACTGCAGTTGTGATTCTTTGTTTTGCTGCTGCACACGTGCACTCCAGAGGTCTGTTTGTGTTTTCACTTTCCAGGGGAGACCTGCTTTACCAACATCGATGAGTGTGAGTCCCAGCCCTGCCAGAATGGAGGGCTCTGCCAGGACCTGGTGAATGGTTTCCTCTGCCAGTGCCTCCCTGGTTACTCAGGTAACTCTGGGGATGGGGGTGACTGGAATCAGATCCTTCTGGCTGCCTAATGCTGAACTGCTGCAGGATTCCAGGATGAGAACTGGGGAGGTTTCCATACACATAGGATGAAATATATAGAAAACCAGCCTTTAAATGAAAAAAGGCTAGTTGTCACAGGCTCCTGGCTGTAGCAGATTGGCTCACCAGCACATAAACATCTGTAAAACATCTCCATTCACTGACACTCTGCRTGATAAGAGCCAGCCATTTTTGGYTGAAAGCAGTGATCTGCTAAGTTAGGAGGTCAAAAGGTCTTTGTGATGTGAGCAAAGGAAGCTTTCTCTGTTTACAGGGGAATGAGGAGTCTGGATTCTTCCCCAAATGCCCTGCCTGACCCTAAGGGTTCAGTTTGCAGGTTGAGAACCTGGGGGATAGTGAATGTCAGYCCTGTTGGGAAGGTCCTCTATTAACTGGTACTAAACCTCATCTTAGTTTARAATATTTGTTCTCAGTCTTCATCTTTAAATTCCACTGTATTGGCCAATTTAACTCCAGAATAGTTTATAAGAAAGGTGATTCCAACACAGTCCTGCATTTCTGGATTTGAGCTGAGGGTAACCTCTCTACAGTGTTACCAGGCTGCCATCTCGTGGGAAAAAGAAACACTTGAAGCCAGAAGAAAACTCAATCCCTTAACTTGCAAGAGCAGGTAACAACATTCCAGAGACTCTCTCAGGCCTTTATTGCATGGGAAAATTTTCTGTTTTGCTTCTGTGGTTGCAGTGGTTGAGCTGTGTTGGTTTAGCTCTGCCCAGCTCTTTCCTGGGAAGACCTATTAATTTYATTCCCAGGATCTAAAATCAGCTTCCAGTTAACACCTTCTGAAACKGAGCTGAATTATTTGTGGGGTTTCCTGGCCTATCTCATTTGCTAATTTAGGATAGATCAAGAAAAATTTGCTTTTGTAGATGAGGCCTTTGAAAATCAGCTTTTATCTATGCTTGTTATCGCTGCTTTCTCAGGCAGTTACAATGCTGTACTCGTGGACTGAGATCTTGTCCAAAGAGATGGTTTAAAGTTTATCCTTCTTGTCAGAATTCCCACTCACATCTGTGCCCTGTTCTCTTTTCCTCCTGCAGTGCCCCAGCACCCTCACAGAGCTCAGAATTTCATTGTGCTTTGCCAAGCAGCAGATCTGTTTAATCCTTTCCAATTCTTAGCATGCTCATGGGCAGAAAAGCTGACAGAAACAYGGGCTGATGGGCAAAGGAGTGCTAGAGTTCATTCTGTTACTTCAAATTTGGGTTCATTAGTACTTGAAGGGGATTAGAAGCAGGTTGCTCTTCTGGACATTGCTTTTGGTAAAGGACTTTGTCTCAGCTGGGGTAGTTCTGACACATTAACACAGCGAAGGGCTGGGAGCAGTCTGTGAGATCAGTGAGTGCRTGTGGAGGAGTGAAGCTGACAGGGAAATAATAGCAATTAATCTCCACTCCTTTGTCAATTAATCCCAGTACAGTCATGCTGGGTAAACAGCTTATTACTTCATATTAGGATCACAGAACAACTTTGTGAAGCTTCCTATAATGTTTCTCTTCAAAACACATTTCTGTGGCAGCTTAGATCTGCCATGAACTTGGGTTTAAGCTGCCTCCRCTGATTAAAGTGAACTTGCTACTCTGATGAAGAATGCCTTCTTGGGGCGGCAGGGGGTTCCTTCTGTGTGTTTGCTTCTTCAGGCTGAGGAATTTGGGGAGTGTTGGAATAACAATGCAAGTCAGGAGAAATTCTTTCTTTGCAAATTAACTGCCTCAGTGCTGTCTCAGTGTAGTGCTGGGAGATGATCCTTCACTTTGAAATGTGTTGTTGAAAAAGCAGTGTCTCATTCCTGAGAGAACAACACAACAGGTCCTGAAGAGTCTGTTCAGCACATGGTTTGTGCTTTAGCAGAGCATATATGTACCCTGAGAGGATGCAAGAAGTATGAATCAGAAGTTTTCATGGGTACTAAATGAAGTGTGAAGGAATCTTGCATGCWCTTGGAAATTATGTCAACTGTGGGCAAGAGAAAAAGCATATTAGGAAAAGTCTGTCTTTTAGGGAGAAAAGAAATCCAACAAAATGAATTCTTTCTTTAATTTTTTTCAGAAATGGTTTCAGTCCAGCATGTATTTATTAGGCAGGGGGTTAGACCAGGACAGGAAAAAGAAAGGTGTTACCATTTGACATGGACACTGATTTTTAACCCACTGGACAGCCCTGAGGAGCAGGGATGAGCACAGCATTTCCATCSCAGAACCCAGCCCGGGGCAGGGGCACCTTGTGATCATGGCAACATTCTGAGCTTCTCTGCACATGGCTGAGGAACACTTCTACTTTCATGAGAAATCAGAAGGTGATRTGGTGTGAATGTGTCCCAGTATAATTGGAGGGCTTATTGACCATCTCACTTTGTTCAGCCATAATGTCTTTGTCTCCTTAAAGAAGCAGAAACCTTCTGTGCAGCAGCTATAAATGGTGACTCTGTGAGGGTACAAGCCCAGATCAAATGGGCTTGAATTCCTGGGTCATGGGTTAGGAAATAAATGGGAGATCCTTCTTCCTTCTAACCACCTTTGGATAGATTTAATTTTTTTGTGCAGGTATTTCTTAAGTCAGATTTGTTTTAGAGACGGAGCCTCTAGAGCAAGGGCAGCTAAAAGGTTAAGATAGTAAAGAGATTAGAGGCCTGTTCCCCTTCAACCAAATCCTTTTGGTAAATATAGCTGAAGGGAGCTAGGCAGCACTTGGTGAGGCTCCCCCCCTTCCCTTCCGCTCCACGTTTCTTCTCCCTGCTGGATCACAGCTCCGTGTTAATCAGACCTTTTGACTTCCCTGTCATCTGATCAGAAGGCTGTGAGTGCTGCAGTCCAGAGCCTGCTTGTGCCTGGTGCCAGGTGAGAGCAGAATCTGTGCTGGGTGCATTGGGGTGTGATGGATWTCCAGGCAGTAGTGTACAGGTAGACTGTGTGTGTATGTGGAGATAACTGTGTGGGTGCATCAGCCAAAACAGGCATCTTTTTGAAGACATTGAATGTTCTGCAGTCTTCGCACTTGTTACACTTTATTGTTGCAGTAGTGGCTGAATGTGCACAACTGCCTGTTTGTTTTCTCCTGAGCAGTAACAGAAGGGTCAGAGTAGCTAATGGAGATAAAGTTCCAAATCTGTGCAGGGACAGGTTTGTGTGTGCACAGGTCTGTGGCTATTTGAAAAGTTTTGACTCCAAACAAACACTCACCATATTCCTCCTGCTTTGAGTATCTGTAAAATTGACTGGCATGTTTGGATTGAGTAAAATTACAAAAGTGAAATAGCTGCAGGAGTTGTTGGAATGCTTTTTTAATATCTGAGTGATACTGCTAATGCAGATTCCAGACGCTGACATGTGGGAGGTTTTGTTTGCTTGGACCTGGCATTGATACAAACAGACTCCAAGTTTGGGGAAAAGCTCCCAGATAATATTTCTTCACAGAAAGAACAAACTTCTCTGGTAACTTACAACACAAAAATACAACTCTGCTGCCAGGACTTTTATAATATGAAAGTAACTATAYTAAAAAACAAAACAAAACCAAAACCCAGAAGCATAGAGGAAAAAGGAGACTGGAACAGCTAATATAATAAGGTGGCTAATGAGGAAAGAGAGTTTTGATTGTGTAGTGCCATGTCTGAACCAGCAGATTCCGCATAATGCAGGCAATTTCCTTCYGTCCGTTTTGACTTCAGAGAAACAGATCATGGCCATTAAAACCTGAGACTTTTCTTTGCCAATATGGTAGAGTGGAAATACTTGTGCTCAAAAATCTCTGGAACAGGGCACAGGGAGGAGGAAAGGTACTTGATGGATGCAGATTCTGTCAGTATTGAATGTGCAGCAGGGCCCATGTTCACCCTGCACTGGGAACTCTCATTGTTCCTATGGTTTAGATATTGCACAGTGGTGGAAATGCAGCTTTTTGGCTTAGCCCATAAAAAGAACATTTTGGCCTTATTGGTGGGATTTGGCAGATTCACCTTGAGCGCAGCAAGGGTAGGAGCTTGTCTCTGGGCTTTGCCCTGCTGAGCTGAGGCTGTGGGCACTGCTGGGCACTGCTGGGAGGCACCGAGCAGGAATATGCTGGGAGCACACATTCCTGGTGTCAGCACGGACAGGGGCCAGCTGGGAGGGTCAGAGCCGGGCTGGATTAGACCTGGCGCAGGGCAGGGCTCTGCTCCCTCGGCTCTTTCACTCCAATCCCTTCTCGTGTGACTGGCACCAGCGAGCGCCTGAACACACTGCCCTGGCAGCCCAGCYTTTTTTGTCATCCCTCCCCCTCTTCACCCCCATTTTTTTTCCCTTTACTGTCACCAATGTCCACAAGGAGTCGGCCATGAAATCTGTGCTGATTGGCGTGATCCTGAAGGGAATTTTTCTGCTAGCAGGTAATGAGCTGTGTGCAGTCCTTGCAGTGTGTCCTGCCTGTGTGCGTGCCTGCCCAGGGCAGGGGGCTGGCTGTGTGATGCGTGGTAGCTGGAGGCATGAAGAGGAACCAGAATTGATTGGAGAGAAAGAATGTTTTTATTTTGAAGAGACCTAAAGTTTTGTTTTGGGAACTTTATGGCGAGGAATTTCCTTGTTGCACGGGTCTGGCTGGCAGCTCCACAGTCTTTGTGCTGCAGTTCTGCCTTGTAGGACAGTGTCAGAGCCGGGGTGTTCTGAGGCTCCAGGTTTGTGCCCAGGTGAGCTCTGGAGGCACACAGGTGTCTCCTGGCTACTTCCGTGCAACATTAGTTTTGTTTTTTACAGTTGTTTTTTGCAGTTTTCATTTTTCCTGTAATGATTGAAAGCTGCCTCGTAGAGTAGTAGTGGTTGTAACTCAGACAAACCCTTTGGCGGTCAGTGCCTTCCCCASCTCCTCCCGCTCCCTCGCCCCGAGCAGGAGTGCGCGGTGGGAGAGCGGCAGAGCAGGGGTTGCCATGGAAATGGCAGTAATTGTGCAAATATAATTGTGTCGGGGTCCGTTTGTTGTGGCTAATTCTCTGCCTCCCTCTTCTCCCTCCCCTCCTTTTTCCTTTTGATAATAATAATACAATCCCTAATTAGGATGCAGCAGGGAAAGGTCGTTAGGAATTCAGCTGCCTTGTGGAGAGGGCAAGGCGGTGCTGGCCGGGCAGCCCTGCTGAACTCCCGTGTTTCAAGGAATAGACCTTGTCCTTCAAGGTTTTTTGATATCTGACAGCTAAATTAGAATATTTCACTTCATTTGTGCTTATTCTTTTAACATTTTATGTATCTGTTGAAGTACGTGATTCTTACACTCCATACAATGCATATTTGCTTATCAACAGCAGCCAGTAAATCATTCCCTCCATTCAGGGAGGGGTGAGCTGGTGGATTTAATCACACTTGCATCTACTAAACAGGACTGTTCCCACCACAGCAGTAACGCTCTGAATGTGGTGAAGGATTGGTATTTGAATGTAGTGCAGGCTGTGAAAGCTCAGCCACTTCTGAGTGTTTGTGACCCAGCCCCTGTGGCTTGGTGGCTTAGGACTGTTACCGCAGATGTTTGAAATCCTTCAGTCCAGATAGCAGCCTGGTAAATACCACTTGTCTGATTTTCAGATAAGGAGTTCCTCTGGTTTGCTATAGTTAGTCTTTAACTAGATAAGGAACTCATTAAATGTTTTAAAGTCTCCTAATGGTGTAATGAATCAGATTGGCAATGTTGATTGGCAATGTTTTACTATTGATGGCTCAAATAATAGTAAACATTTGAGCTAAGAAATTTAGAGGGAACAGAGGAGATTAYTACTTGTTTACAAGGAGAATAACTTGGTTTTGTAACTTGTTTTTGTCTAACAGAGTCATGTCCCCCACTTGTATTTTTTATATATACCTGAAAAGGGATGCCTATGCTGCTCTTAGAAAAACCAATTAGTGTTGAACAACTTCTTAATATCTACTTCCAGTGGGTCTGCAAAGACACAACTGTCCATGTCTTGGACAAGCTTGGAATAACAGATACCCAGGAAATGATCTGTGCTTTTGGAAACTGCAGTGATGTAGCTTCAGGTAACTGGAGCAAGAATTGYCATTAGCCAGATTTTTAGAACTCTTGTGAAATCTCCTTTCACCCATTTCAAACAAMCTAAGAAATGAAGCCAGCTGCATCCCATGGTAAAGCCTGGTGTTTGATCAGCCTGGGGCTGTGCACCCACCCTGGGGACTCATTTCCCACTGGTGGGAGGCACTGGGGAGTCKAACAGCCCGGGCAGGTGCTGCTGCTGTGCCCCAGAGAGCTGAGCCCTGCTCAGGCTGGGAATGTGCGATGGGAACATGGGCCTCTCTGCCTCCCAGCCTTCTCAGAAATGCAAAAATTCACGGCATCTCCCCTTTTGTTATCCAAACCAATGTTATCTTCCCCTCATTGCCTTGGTAAATATCAGCAACTCTGATCTGAAACAGCAGCATCTCAAGGGTTTGGGACTCTACCAAACCTGTCTTTCCTCATTCAACAGCCTCTCCCCTTAAATCTGACTGCAAAATTGCCTCCTGCAGGTTGGAGAGCCCTCCAAGAAAACCCACTGCACAGTTATATTGCTCCACTGATTTTTCCCAGTTGCAATTGAAGTCTTCCTATCTTCTCCCAARCTGGGATTCTGCAGGCCCAGTGATGTCCCTTACACTCTGTTTATTCCAACACATTTCCTGCACAGCTTTGTGCTGCAGCCTTGGTTGTGTCCCTGCTGTTTCCTTGCTGAGCAAGCCCAGCAGTAAGAGCAATAGGCCTGTGCTGAGGGGGTGAAGGTACTGCTGCTTACAGAACCGCTCTGGCAGAGCTGCAAAATGCAGAATTAGAGCCTTGCATTTGTCTTTCAGTGCTTCTCAGAGCTCTGTCCCTACACTGGTACAATCAGGCAGTTGGGAGCTGGAAGCTGGTGCCGAGTCCTCATCTCTGCAGAGCTTAGGGGACAAACCATCACTGCAAATATTCAGGAATCTGTATCTTTGCTAAGTTTTAATTTTTAATCACACATCAAGTCCRGCTCCAGTGCTCCTAATGCCCCATCTCCCCGCATCTCTTTCCCCATGGCAGCTCTCTAATCTCTTTGACATGCACATTCTGTCTAGTGGCTTTTCTTTACAAATGTCCTTTGTGTTTTGATTCCCCTCCTTTGTGTGTGAATTCCTTCTTTTTCTTCCTGCTGCCCTCGTTGTGCTTGCTGGCTGGATCGGGTGTAATGCTATTAGATTGGGATAATCCATGCTTGGTTTATCTGTGGGACTGTCTCTGAAGATTAGTGAAAACCAACGTTATGGGCCAGATAAAGTGAACTGGTTCAGGGCTCTTCTGTCAGTCTGGGGATGCTCAGGAAAATGACAGCAGATTTTCATTAGCCAGATTTGGTGTAATGGCCTGTAATTTCATGAGCCCCATTGGGATCCATGTGCCTCTAGGACACAGAACTGCCTTGCAGGACCTCACCCATTCATTTCTGCAGGACTGGGCAGGAGTGAAATCAGCTTAGTGCCAGCRTGGCAGAGTGCCTGTGGAGCATGTTGTATTTGTTGTTTGGTCATGAATTGGGTCTTGTGAGTTTTACAACTGGTGGGTTTCCTTGGAATTTGAATTTTTCTTTGAGGCTTTCCAGTAACTTCCCATTTTACTGCTGTCTGGCACACTCGTGTCTGGAACATGCTCCAGTCAGATCTATGGACATAACTGGTGTTTGAACATACCAAATCTATTAAGAAAAAAGCATAAATTCCTTGCTTTGCTGTGTTGCTCCTCTGATGCCTTCTGCRTGTTGACTGCCTGTGGGGTTTGAGCTTGGGACAGGACAGCAGTTGGGGAGATGTGGCTGACAGGCCAAAGCTCTGTAAATAGCACCTGGGAAGATGCAGAAATTTGGTTTTCTTGCTCTTGCATGGTCAGCAGGACCCTGTGCAGTGAGTGTGGGGCTCTTTGCTGGCAGCTGCTCCCYGGACAGGGCTGGGGAGGGCAGTGCCTGGAGGCTCTGGGAGGGTGTCCCAGTCCCACAGTGAGATCCCACAGTGAGATCCCATCTCTAAATCTCTTTCACAGGTGTGGAATGTGCTGTTAACATCAATGAGTGTGAGGAGGGTCCCTGCAAGAATGGAGCTGTCTGTGAGGATGGCATTGCTGACTATTCCTGCCACTGTGCCCCTGGCCAGGATGGCATTACGTGGGGAGGGAAGAACTGCTCTGTCCAGCTCACTGGGTGCCAGAAGCACGACTGCCAAAACGAGGCCTTGTGCATCCCAACCTACCAAGCTGAGAGCCACGGCCACCTGTGCCAGTGCCAGCCTGGTTTCTCTGATGCCACGTGCTCGACACCAACAACGTTTTCCTTTGCTTCCAGAGGGTATCTCCTCATTGAGCTGCCCGAGAACAGTGAGAGCAGGAGGGRCACAGGAGGAGCCAGCGTGTCCCTCCGCTTCCGAACCACCTTGCCCAGCGCTGTCCTTTTTTACCGAGGCCGTGAAGCCGAGTACTTGTTCCTGGAGCTCTTGGATGGCATCCTGCATGCAGAGCTGAGGAGGGAGGATGTTGTGTACCCGCTGCTCCTCGAGGGGCTGAGAGTGGACGATGGCCAGTGGCATAAAGTGGAAGTTGTTGTGCACAGCACGGTGCAGCTGAAGCTCTGGCACGACTCTTGTGAGGCCGGGGTGTGCCTGCAGAGCTCTCCTGTCCCACCAGGCACTGCTCTGATCCCACAGGCCTTCCTGAATCTCTATATTGGAGGTGCTGAGGATCCCGTGGCCAACAACACACGGAGCCAGCAAGGCTTTGTGGGCTGCCTGGAAGACTTGCAGGTGGACACTGAGGCCGTGCTGCCGGCGGATCTGCCACTGGGGGAGTCGTCCCCGGTGAAGCCGGGCTGTGACCGCACCGAGTGGTGCCTGTCCCAGCCCTGCTCCCACGGAGGGCTCTGCGTGGACCTTTGGGCCACCTTCAGGTGTGACTGTGCCAGGCCCTACGGGGGCCCAGACTGCTCCTATGGTAAGTGCCACRGGACTGACACCTGCCAGCTCCACAGGTACCATAGAATCTTGGATGCTAGCTCTGGAAACAGAATTTTCTACTTGACCAGGGGGAAAAATAAAACAAAAGCCTCTGTGAATAAAATTCTCATTGATCCTTTCTGTCACTTGCTCCTGCAGGAATGGCTGTCACTTTTGTGGTGCAGGTTATTCCTCATTGAGCCAGAGGCTCTGACTTCACCTTTGTAACAGATCTGTATGAATGCAGGCGAGCAGAGAAATTGTTGTGCTGTGAAAAGTTGATCTTGAGCTTTTGAGTTGAGGATGAATAGAAATGTATTGCTTTATAGATAAACTGTAAAGTGTTAAAGGAAGCTCTTTGACAATTTTGAGTTAAAATAATTTCTATTTGCATTTTTTGCTCCTGCAAGGCTTGCATTAGGATTGTTCCAGGGTTTTTTTTTTCTGACACTTCTGAGCCCTAAACATGGAATGTACTGCTATTACCAAATTTACAAATTTTAAAAACAACTCTGTACCTCAAAGGTCCTTGAGTAAATCTGYTGGATTGGCCAGGGCTCTGCTAGACCTGTATTTCGCTCTTGTGCTACTTGAATTTGTGCCCTCAGAGAAAGCAGGGATACGTTCACCTACTTCTTAAGAGGAGCATTGTTACCCTGGCACACGTGGAAAATGTTAAGAAACGTTTGCCCCATTCCTAAGGAGCTGCATCCCTGTGCCAGCTGCATTCCCTTTATCTGTGAGCTGAAGTCTGTTTCTGTTCTCTTCCAGAGCACCCAGCAGCAACATTTGGCCTAGAGAATTCCACCAGTTTTGCCTCTTTCACCCTTTCCGACGGCCTCGGTGCAGATTTCAACCTCTCCTTTTTCCTGCGGAGTCGCAAACCCGAGGGTTTGTTACTGCAGATCTGCAATGGGACAGGCCCCTGCCTCACCCTGTACCTGARGGACGGCCAACTGCACGCAGAGATGTCCCCTACGGACACTGTGACCTTGCCAGGGAATGTGGTTGATGGCAGAAGACATTTGGTAGCCCTGTCTTTCCAAGGAGGCTCTGTTGGTGCTCTGCAGTCAGACACGTTCGTGGAGCTGGGGCAGCTCCCAGCACTGCCCTTGGCAGAGGGCTCAGAGGTGTTCATTGGGGGACACCCCAACCCCGACAGTGCCCAGCTCTGGGGGGGCCATTTCAAGGGCTGTTTGCAGGACATCCGACTCAACAGCCACCAGGTACAGTTCTTCCAGGTGGAGAATGACAGTCTGCCAGAGGAACTCAACAGGACTCAAACTGGAAATCTTGTGAATGGCTGCSTCTCTGATGACACCTGCAAGGTATGTGCTGTGTCTCATTTGTCTYGGTGTGTGCAGGGGATTATTGTAGTTCTGTGATTACACAAAAGTTTGACTGATGCTGGTATCAGAAAGAGAAGGTTTTTTGATGTATTGAAAAACACACGGTTCTGTGTGCTCCCACCTCACTCTATATGCTACGTGTGATGTGAACATTGAGTTTTCTCAAGCTCTCTTGTAGTTTTTGTGGGTTTTAGAACTTGGGCAGGGGCTTTTGTGCTGCCCATCTCCACTTTTTCTGAACCCACACAGGTTCCAGACTCCCCTCTCTAACCTGTARCCTTGCCAGCTCCTCCCTTTATCCTGTTCCAGTTGCACAAGAACCTCTTCCCCAGGAATCTGCCACTTCAGCAACAGCAGCTGAAGGAGCTGTCTCCATGTGCCCTTGGATCAGAGTCTGGCTCTCTCCTGGGCCATACCTGGGCACAGCACATGTGCCACACTGTTGCTGAGCTGCTAYTTCATTTTCCTCGTCTCTTGATTCAAATGCTGCTCATGCTCAATTGTCACAATTCTGCCRAATTCTCTTAGACCTAAAGATGAATTACTCTGCCCCTAAATTCCCCTGTTTTGTTTTTCAGTCTGAGCCATGTCAGAATGGGGGCAGATGCATTGTCACTTGGAATGATTTCCATTGCAGCTGTCCAGCAAATTTCACTGGGAAATTTTGTGAGGAGAAAGTTTGGTGCGAAAGTGACCCATGTCCTGAAGCCACCACCTGCACAGACGTTGTGGCAGGATATGTGTGTAAGTTGTGTTCTCCTGCTCGTGTGTTGGTAAAATGCCCCATGTTCCCTGTCTGTAATCGATGTTCCCAGGCTGTGCTGTTAAAAACAACACAAACACACGCTGCAAGCAGGACAAGGGTTGATGCCTGGGTTCACTGTCCTGCAGGCAGCACCTTGCCCCCAGGTGTGACAGAGCCCAGCTGAGGAGTAAAAATTGCTGCCTAAAAGCTGGATATTATTACAGGAGGTGCAACTGTAAACAGGAAGAGCTTTAAGGATGCCAGCAGCTCGCCTGTAATCCTGCTCACACTAAGCTTATGGGTTCTTAGGGGGAGAACCTGCCAGGGGTGTGCYGTTAGTCTGGCTCAAACAGGACACCAACTGTCTTTCAAATCCCTCGTGCTCTTCCCCTTTATTTATAGGTCTGGCTAATGCAACATTCAATAGTTCTGCTGCCATTGAATTTACCACCAACACATCAGTGAGCAGAACTCTGAGCAGCCTCCACGTGGACTTCAGGACCAGAGATGAAGATGCTGTTTTGCTTCGGGCTGGGGAAGAGGTGGATTCCCTCCAGGTAGCCATTAAGAATTCCTCCCTGCTGGTCGACATCAGGAGTGGGAACAGCATCGAGGGCGTCAGCTTCCTGAGCCTGCAGCCCGTCACAGATGGGGCCTGGCACAGCATCTCCGTGTCCATGGAGGAGCCGGCCGCGCTCTCCTCCAGGTGGCTGCTCCGCTTGGACGGCTCGGTCAATGTGACTCTGCCGGGAAACGCCGGCAACTTGGACTTCCTCAAGAACAACGCCTCGGTCGTTCTGGCCGAAAATTTCACCGGCTGCCTGGGCAAGGTGCAGATCGGGGGCATCTTCCTGCCCTTCCCGGCGCACCAACCGTACCCTCAGCCCGAGCAGTTCCAGAGGGCCGGCGGGGGCAGCGTCCAGCTGGGCTGCTCCGGGGCCRACGTGTGCGCCTCCAGCCCCTGCCTCAACGCCGGCACCTGCCAGGACCTGTTCAACTCCTTCCGCTGCGGCTGCAGCGCGGGCTGGGCGGGGCAGCGCTGCGAGGCCAACATCGACGACTGCCAGCCCAGCCCCTGCGTGCACGGGGACTGCGTGGACGCCGTGGCAGATTTCCAGTGCGAGTGCTTCCGCGGCTTCATCGGCAAGAGGTGCGACATCAACGTGGACGACTGCGTGCGGCACCAGTGCCTGAACGGAGCCACCTGCGTCGATGGCGTTTACGGSTACTCCTGCAAGTGCCCTCCTCAGTACTCCGGACCTCGCTGCGAGTAAGTGCCAGGGCTGCCTCCATACAGGGGCAGAGGAGCCCCCAGATAAACTGGACTTTTRCTTTGAGACACTTGGGGAAAAGCTTTCATTGCAAGCATCTGGTAGGTAAAGCACCTAAGTTCTGCTGTGACTTGGAAGGTGCTGTCCAGGTCCAAACCCTCACTGCCAGGGGCTCAGCCTCAAACAGGATAAGGATCTTTCCTTTTGATGTGAGTTATCCCCATGCTACATTTCAGAGCTATGTGAAGGGCAAGTTGTCCCTTCCCTCTAGCACTCCCCAAGAAGTCCCTTTTCTCTGGGGTTTGACTTCCCTCTGCCATATTCCTGACTGAAAACAAAACAACTTGTGCCAGTTCATGGCTGAGCTTCAGTTATCTGATCTTTCCAGGATGGTTTTCCTATTGTTTCTGCTGCGCTCTGGTGCAGTTACCTCGTAGTGGCATTATCCTTCCTGGGCCTGGCTGCACCGTTTGGCACTGTCCTGTCCCTGCTTATATTGTCATTAGCAAGGACAGGCCTGTCTGAGAAAAATAGCACGTACTGCCAGAGCTTCTGTCACGATCCAAGGCATGATCCTGTCAAGCTCCTGGCATGATCCAAGGAATGCCCTGATACTAGGGATGATTTCTGAGACTATTCACTTCTCCACTTGTGTCAAACTCCTTTCTAGAAATACCAATGACTGTGTTTATGACCCTCGCCAGCCCCATTCCCCCGAGCCCCAGAACACTCTGCCCTTCCCCACAAGTGTTCTAAAGGCTGTCCCTTGCTCTCCCCAGGTGGCCATTCCCCCCTCAGCAGTGTGGCAAGAACTTCACCTGCCTGAATGGTGGCAGATGCATCACTGAGAGCTGGGGAGCCAACTGCTCCTGCAGGCCTGGCTTCACTGGAAGGAAGTAAGTGCTGCTTTGGGATGGTGCTCCCCTGATCTCGGTGGGGTGGCTGAGCAGGGCCCTGCCTCATCCTCCTCCCTKTCATTGTGCTGGTCAAACAGCTGCTCCTAAAGGGAACACGAGCTGTAACCTGGAGCAGAGGGAGGCTTTGGGTCATCCAGCTGCCACTACCAGTTTTTTTGCAGTGAGAACTGCTTCCAAGTTTTTTCAAGCACGTTACCTGTGCTGGAGACCTGTGCTGGGCCTCAGTCCCACACAGACCACAGCAGGAGGGTTGGTGTGAACAGGGGAGAATGTTGTGTCCTTTGACTCTGGAGAAAGGACCTGGAAAAGCTGCAACGGGTGCTTTTCAAACAAGAGAGGCCTTTTCAGAGTGATGATTTTATGTTCTATGGCACAAGAACGTATGTGACAATTCTAATACACGTTTTCTTTGCAGCTGTCAAATCAACATCAACGAGTGTGACCCGAACCCGTGCCAGAACGGGGGCACGTGCCAGGACTCAGAGAACAGATACGAGTGCGTGTGCAGCGCCAGCTACACCGGCGAGCGCTGCGACATCAACGTAAGCACTGCCCACTGCAGGGCTCCTGCAGCTCTGAGCAGGGGCCTGGGGCTCTGGGATCCTGGGGCTCTGGGGTTCTGGGGGGGGCTGGCCCTACTCCTGTCCTGCCTAAAGCACAGCTGGCAAATCCTCAATGGTTTTTTTTCTGCAGCGCTGCTGCTTGTTGGTCTCCAGCATATAAACAACTGCAGTATCTGCATGTGCTGCCATATAGCTTTTGGGGCTGTCTCTCCACATTTCCATAGATTTCTCAACTCTTTGGACAGTAATCCAACTACTGCAATTGGCCCAAGTTCCTGGAGAATGGAATTTCATTTGGTGTTTTATCTCAGATAAGAGTTACAAAGCTCCTTCCCTCCCCAAAGATCATCTGAATAGGAATGGATGTTTGGGGAAGGGATGTTGGATAAAGTCAGGCCCAGAGTGATTCATGTCTGTGTGAAAAGCCAAGTCCTGTCCCTGAGCTGCCCCAGCCCGGCCGAGCTGTCCCCGTGTGCCTAATCCRAGTGTTCTGGGTGGGACTGGGATCCTTCCAGGGGAACTGGGACCCGTAGCCCTGCTTTCTCTGTGAAGCTGTTGCATGGACAGGTRGCTCGTTGGGTAACCTGGGAATGTACTAACCCATCCTGCATGGAAAGGGCTGTGTGCCAGGCGGGGTTTGCTGCTGTTGCTGTTCCCAGAGCTCTGCAATGCACGTGCCAAGGTCACCCTGACATTTCCAGTTTGCATGCACACCCTCCTTCAGGCATCTCCATCTCCTCTGCGCCAGGACACTTCCTGTGGATTCCTTGYATTCATTTTCATCAGCCACCCCTTGCTTTTCTTTGCTCTTTCCTGCTCTCTGGTGAGGCCAGGCCCTGCTGGGGCAGGGAGGGGCTGGGATGGTGCTCGGTGCCACAGGRGCTCAGCTGAGCTCCCTTTGCTCTCCCCTCCCACAGCAGCAGCTCCAGGGCTGCCCTGCTGGGCCCTGGCAGTGCTGGACTAACCCGCGTGGTCTGGAACTAACCCTGCACGGCGCTCGGATTTGGGCAGGCTCAGGGAACCCACCTGAACTCAGGGCATTTGAAAAGGCCACAGGGAATTGCAGATCCCCTGGCAATGTTCCTTCTTTGCTTTGTGACATGAGCACAGACTGAATGGCATCCAAAAGCTGTAAATAATCCAGCTTGAACCGTTCTGGTTTTAGCTTAAGGTGRCCAGTACCATTGTTAGCAATGTTTCTTAAGTTTATTGTAATCTTAAAGCTTTCTTTCGTGACAGAAATGCCACAGTTGTTGTTAGTTATYTGTTGTTGTCTTCCATGCCATCCTTGATTCCACCAGAATCTAGAGAATTCTCATTTCTCTCCTCAGTACTTGGGCTTTTTATCATCTCCATCTCCCATCCATGTCCTGACCTTTTTTAACATCTTCCCCTTCTTTCTGCAAGTTCTTCAATTCTCTTTCATACTTTAACAGCTAAATCARTTCTCTGCTTTGCCATTACAGGCATCACTGAATTCTTTAGTATCATTCCCCTGCTTGGGAAAATTTTTTTGGGTTACTGAAAATTTACATTACTCATCATTAACTTTATAGTTTTTAATTMCTTTTTTTCCCCAATGTTGGTCACAACTTTGCCAGTGGCACCTCTGTATTTTATTCTGATATTGATAGGAAGGCACCTTTAAAGACTCCCATTGTAGATGCTGAGTAAACTGGCACTTACATCTTAAGGGGCTGTCCTGGTGTGGAAAAATGCTTTTTTTGCTTTTCTCTAAAAAATCTTTTTCCCTCTAATCTGACCATTCGGGTCAGTTATTGCAGTYATTGTAACCACTGGAGTTTCATTGTTTCTCCGTTAATTTCTTTTACAGAAAGGGACTCCAGGTGCTCTCTTCCCCTCCCCATTAATTGAAGTAGCTGTCCCTGTAGCCTGTGGCTCTGTGCTGCTGCTCAGTATTGGTCTCATATTCATGATTCTCACGGCAAGGAAGAGGCGCCAGTCCGAGGGGACCTACAGCCCGAGCCAGCAGGAGGTGGCAGGAGCTCGGCTGGAGATGGACAGTGTCCTAAAGGTGCCACCCGAAGAGCGCCTAATCTAGGCCCTGCCGTGCCCAGGACTGCACCTGCAAGGTCTGCCTGGACCTTGAGCTCTTCCAGCCCTGGCAGCAGCAGATGCACCCATCCCCTTCCCCTAAGGCTGCCCATGAGGACACGGACGTTCCGCGCGGTGCCCGAGCGCGCCAGCCCGGCTGTGCCATCACTGCTGTGTGCCAGTGGCTCCCAGGGAGCCTCTGCCCTGCCCTGGAGTGCCCATCGCTCACCCAGCAGCAGCTGAAGGCACTCTGGCTCCAGCCCCTCCAGGCACCAGTGGCACATTAAATCTGCTTTCCAGGGCAGGGTAAATCGAGGCATCTGTGCAGCTTCAGCTCCCCCGGTCCCTCAGGAGCTGAGGAGGGWCACAGCTGGTTTGTGTATTGTGCTCTGGTTTTGTCAACAGCTGAAAAACATTCAACCTCTTTCAGCTCAGGTGTGTGAGGTTTTCAGAGTCTTCAACAGCAACAGCAACAGCAGCTGTGACCTCCTGCCTTTGACAGCCCCGTGTTACAGGGAATTGTCAGCAATGATSCAAATCCTTGTATAAATCAACATGGAATGATGTGGTGCTGTTAGACATTCCCACGGCTACCGTGCAGGGAAGGAGCAGGCAGGACTCSGGGCTTTGGGCAGTGCTGGAGCTGCAGGTGCTGGACTTTGGGTGTGCATGGAGGGGAGAGGGGAGCAGGAAAAGGGTCACCTCCACATTCCCTGGGCTCTGTGGGACAGGGAGGGGACAGGGGACAGGGAGCTCCTGCCTCCTCAGCTCCTGCACAGCTGAGGGAGGTGCCAGGGCTGAGGGCTGTGAATGCAGCAGCCGCTGGAAGCTCTAACTCCATGTTCTACCACAGCAGCGAGTGTGGGCGCACCTCAGCCACTCCTCCGTGGTGGGAGCAGTCGGGGCTGCGGGGGCTGGCCTGCTCCTCGCAGTGGTTGTAGCCACGGCCATTGCCATGAAGAGGAGGAGAGCGACTCAGGGAACCTACAGCCCGAGCCGGCAGGAGAAGGACGGGGCTCGAGTGGAAATGTGGAACGTGATCAAGATGCCCCCGACGGAGCGGCTGATCTGAGCTCACCCACGGGGCTCATCCATGGAGCGGCCGCAGGCGCTCGCCCAGTGCTGCGGGTTTGGGGCACAGCTCGGCACGGCTCTGGCACCGGCACTGCCCCCTCCCTCTGCTCCTCCAGGCTCAGAGCAGCTCATCCCACAAATGAGCTACACCAAACTGCTCTGGCAACAAAAGCAGCAGCGCTGGGGAGGAAAACCCCACTGYTGAGGGCCAGTGGAGGAGGGGGAGAGAGCAGTGGCTGTGGCAGCAGGGACACGGAACCAGAGAGAACACGGGGCTGTGTCACAGCCAGAGCCRGCTGGGCCCCTGCTCCTGCTGCTCCCACGGCTCACTGCTGGGCAGGCAGCATAAAAACCACCTGAGGGCAGCTCCAGTGAAYGGGAATGAAACCACTCTACTTGGAAATAATGTGAATAATATGGCTTTTTCCAAAAACCATGTGCCTGTGGCTCCTCTGAAGGCTAAGGCAGGTGAGTGAGTAGTGGGAAATCCTTCCTAGAGCTGCTGCTGCCCTTCCAGCTGGGCCAGAGCTGGCATGGCACTCAGTCCCACTGGGCTCTGCTGGATGTGGCTGCTGGAGCTTGCCCTGAGACCAGACCAAACCACAGGAATATCTGAAGTGCCTTTCTGATCCCGAGTTGCCAGTTACAGTTTAACCTTTTTGAAAGTAGGATGTTTCTGCCACCCCCCAAGCAGGGGGTCAGAGCTGACCATGGCACTGATCCTTGGGAGAGCCATGGCTGAGYATCAGGTGCTCCTTGCTGGGGTGAGGAGAGGAGGAAGAAATAGTTTTAGATCTGACCTCTCTGGACTGACAGGTTGGTACAGATGAGTGGAACWTGGTTAACCAATCCTTTAACCCACACCAGGGTTGGTGTAGTGACAGTATCTGCTTTCCTCTGCCCTGAAATGCGGGGTGATTTGTGGCTTCACTTCTGTGCTACTGTTTTAGCTGGTGAATGTGCTGTTTCTTCTTTAGCATAATGTGGCAGAAGCTGTGGAAGGAAAYGCAGCACAGCAGGCCAGGTAAGGTCTGAAATCATTAGTGTTTCAGGATAATCACTACAACTACCAATGAGGAATATTTTAGAACACAGTGTCTGCTTTATAATCTCCAAAATACTATTAATAAGCAGGGTGGGAACCTGCCCACCATAGCTCATTGCCACAAGAAAATGCTGTTTATTCTGGTCTGCTTTTGGATTTTTTTTTTCTACTGTAGCTGTAAATGTTTCTGTAGTTCCAGGCAAAGGGAGGAGCATGGAACTATTGATCAGATGTGTCTGTTSAAGAGCAGGCGTGTCCCTGTCAGAACAGGTCTGCTCACAGGCAGCTGCTGMCAGTAGAATGGAAATTTTAGAAAATACGAAAAACAAAGGAGTGGGAGACAGTATTTTGTGTGTAAGATCGCTTTTCCTCTAATGGTGGAGAAGAGTTGAAGTGTGATCCCAGCTGGCTGTGTCTGCGACACGCTGGAGCTGGCAGTGGCACAGAGATGCCCTGGCTGCAGGTGGGCACTGGCTGCTGCTTTTCTGTTCATCAGTGCCACTGCTGGCACTGCTCCTGGCACTGCTTTGCTCTGGGCATTTTCCAGCTGCWSTTTGAGGAGCTCCAGTGCACTTTGWGAACAGAGACAGAGGCACTGCCCAGTCTCCTCGTGGCAGTGCGACTCTGGGAGCAAGTGAGGGGCTTTGTGCACAGGAGGGGCTCCAGGGCAGCAGAGCTGTGCCAGGACAGAGGGGAACAAACAGAAACTCCTCCTTGGGAAGGTGAGTGGGGCTCTCTCCCGTTAGGAGCAGTTGGGAGCATAGCCCTGCTGGGCCCTGAGCTGCCTTGGGAAGGTCGCTGTGGTTTCCTGGTGGCTCTGGGGGCTCTGAGAGTTCCCCYGGGTCACTGCCAGGGCAGCTCCTGCTTTTGCTTCTTCACCCATTCCACAGTGGGTGTTAAACTGCACAGAAAGGAGGCAGCAGCAGGATCTCCAAGAGCTGTTCCTCCAGCCTGTGGGATGCTGAGCTCCAGGCTGTGTTCAGAGCTGCCCGAGCTCCTGCAATTCCCTGAAGGTACAAACTCCTGCAGCCCCAGCAGCGGCTCCTCAGGGCTGGATTCCGAGCACCCAAAGCCAGTATTAGCAAAGGTGTTAAAATACTCTGTCAGTGTCTTGAGCATTTCTGCAAAAAATAATTTATGGAAAGTGGGGTTTTTTTTCAATAATGAACTTAACTTTCTTTTGATATTTAATTTTTGAATATATTTTTTCACAAAACTGGACTTGCTGTAGTTAATGATCATGATCCTGATTTCTTTTTTAATTGTAAATTTTATAATTTGTAAATAATTAGAATGTCCTTCAAAAGAAATTTACAATAAAATTTGGTTAAAAACAGGCCTGTTGTTGACTTGTGCCAGTTTTTCCCTGTAGAACACCTTGCTGCCTGGATGGCTGATGGTGGTCTGTGCCACACACCCTGCACAGCTGCAAAGCTCGATGGCTCTTTGCAGTTCAAGGATTAATTTGGTGATGATTTGTCACAGCCCAGAACCCTCAGCACAGGCCAGAACAGAGCTGCTGAACCCAGAGAGAGGGAGCAGGGGGAACCTCTGCTCTCTCTTCACCTCACTGAGCCTGTGCTCTGCATTTTACCATTAATCCCTGACCAACCAGCTCATAGCARAGGGGCTCTGAAATGCCAGAATGGATTATATAACGCTCATATTCTGAACTGTATAAAATAAAATGGAACTGGTTCTTAGACTTTAAATATTTTACTATGCAATACTAAACTCATCTGTCTTTCAACACAAAAAGAAAATACAAATCCAAGTGAATGGCTCGTCAGAGGAACAGCACTGTACAGAAACAAAATATTCCTGGAATACTGTGGTCTTTCCAAAACCAGTGGCATTTCAGATATTAAGAATATTTTTCTTTTGTACTGCCCAGACTCGAACACAAAGACAGCCATTCCCATTCCCCAGAGTAAGAAAACTTCCAAGATTACATGAATAAAATAGATACAGTGGAAATCAGATAAAGCTTTACAAGAATTTCCCCATGTGTCCAAGATGATTTCCTTTATCAAAGGCTCAATGGTGACGTGATTCCCTCTGCAAGAGTGACAGTTTTTACACCAGAGTGTGCCCAGATACAAAACAAACCAAAAAAGCACCACTGAAGTGAAACAGAAATGATCAGAGACAGCAGCTTTCCTGGGGGTCTGGAGAACACAGAGAGGGGGCTCAGAAAGCCCAGCTGAGCATCCCCTGCCCTGYGCGGTGACCGCTGCAGCCGAGGCCAGGCGGGTCCAGCCCGAGGCTCCAGAGCTCAATCCCCTCCTGGACACACCCTGCCCTCCATCAGCACTGCAGCCTGAACTCAGCACCTGGGAACCTTGAGACCCCAAGTTTTCTCTTTTTTGTTTGTAATAATCAAGTAAGATATTGTTACATTCCATTCATATACTGCCATTTATAATATTGATAGATAATATTAAGATACACATATATAAGAACTAGGATACTCTTTATGGCCTCTATTTTCTGATGTATTTAACAAAAACAAAGTCAAAAAGAATGAAAACAATTGCTGGTGTTTCCAGTTTCCCAACAGAGATGCAGGACCAGTCCCTGAGCAGCTGCTCTGYGCTGTGGTTTCCAGGCCTTGTGACAACTCTGCCCCTGTGCCGGTGCTCAGGGAGGAGTCACAAGTGCCACCAAAGCCCACGGTGACAGCACAGCCCCGGGAGTGGCAGGGGTTCAAGGASCACAAAGCAGAGCCCGAGGGATCAGTTCAGTGCAGACCACAAGGCAGGCTGCTTTGCTGCACTTTGCATGTGAAAACAAAATGCTGTGTTTGTGTAATGCCAGAAAAACTGAGATCCGTTCCCAGAGGCAGGAATGAACCCCAGCACAGTTGCTGTGCCACACTCCGGGTGTGCCAAGGACTGAAAATACAGGGAAGGAGTAACTTGTGCATCAGTAGTGCTGCCCAAAAAGCTGTGTGGAAATCCCAACCCAACCCACCTCCCCCCACGCTTTGGTCAGTGCAGGAATTCCAGGGTTGGGTGGTGGGAAGTGAGGGRGCAGTGTCAGGGATTGGGACAACGGGGGACTCTGACCTGTGGACAAAAAGCTCTCGTGTGTGAGTTGCAGCTCAGCGATGGTCCTGCAGCGATCCTGGCTCAGCCTTCCTTAAAAGAAATGCTTGGTTTTATGCTGGCTCAAAAAAACCAAAAAATCCCTCTGTCACTTCCAAAAGGACACCAAGGCCAGCGGGAGCATCACTCAAAGGTTTCCCATCGCTTTCTGAGCTGCTCCACCTTACCTGGTGTGGGTGACACGTCCTGCTTGGTCTTTTTTAACARATCTTCAAACGGATCTTTTGTCTCCTCAGATTTTGAGGACAGTAACCCTGGCTCCAAGCCCTTGGCTGGCCTGGCAGGGACCAGAGGGGGTTCACTGGCCAGGAGAGCCAGTGCTTGTTTGGGATCTACCTTTGTGCTGGGCTGACCCACCTGTAACGTTCGGGGGTTGGAGGGAGCACCCAGACACGCTGGTGGGAAGGAGCTGGTGGGAGAAGGGCTGTGGCTCTGCAGGAGCAAGGAGCCAGCTGCTGGCACAGCTGGAGCCTGGCTGAACAGGTTTGGCATGGACAACGTGGCCATGTGGGGCTGAGGTCTCTGCGGTGGGTAGAAGCCGGCAGTGGGGGCTATGAAGCTGGAGCTGTAGGCGTGACCTAAGGAGGGGGTGAAGGAGCCCCTCGGGGGCCTGACCAGGGACACGGGAAGGGCTCCAGGCAGTGTCTGGGTGAAGGGATTCGGGGAGGGCTGCAGAAAAGGAGCYGGAGCTGGGGCAGGGTAGCCAAGGGGCTGGGCAAACGGAGCAGCAGGAGGAGGCCCGAAGTCACTGGGCAGGGCACTGAAGGTGGGTGCGGGGGCCGAGCCCTGCGGGGCCCTGCCCGGCCAGCCCGCGGTTCTCAGGGGGTCCAGCAGGCTCAGCAGGAGGTCGCTGTCCTTCCCTGCACCTTCTGCCTTCACCCGCACGGGCTGCAGCATCTCGGCAGTGCCCGCGGCAGTGCACAGCAGCTGGGACGGGCGGCAGGAAGAATTCACAGACTGCTGCAGTTCGGGCTCTAAGGACACATTCCCAGCCCCAAAGGGCTCTGGGATAAGATCTGAAACCAAGTGGCTGCGCCCGTGAGTGTTGAGGAGTTCTGCTGACCCGGCTGGAGTCTGGTGCTTGGAAGCCCTGGGTGCTGGCGGWGGTGGCACGATCCCCAGCTCCGGAGTCTTCCTTCCCTGGGGCCTAGGAATGGTGATGTTCCCTTGAATGGCAGGATTTGATTCGTCCTTTTCTGCAGGAGCCAGACCGCTGTCTCTGCTCTGGGGTCTCCTGGTGATGGGGGGCACGTTACCCAGGGCAGCCAAGGGTCTTTCTGGTGAGCTTTGGGAATACTTGKTGGGAATGGCCATGTCATCATGGCCCATGCTCCACAGCTTGTTGTAAGGGTGGGACAGCTTCATGCTTGGCACAATCCTGCTCCTCTCRGACACACCAAGATCCATTCTCTGCAAGAGAGCAGAACAAATAATAACTCAGTGATGAACTCACAACACACAGCAGGAAGTGAGTTCAGGCTGCTGGGAGGCAGGAGGATCTGTCCCCAGGCTGCTAGCAGTGCAGAGGGACAATGGTCAAGCTGTGATTGATTAACAGAGCCCATAGACCCCGCCTGAACAGAGATGTGACTGGATAAGGTTTGTGGGCAGTGACACTGCAAACAGCCAATGGGTGCTTAGCCCGGCAAAATTAAACCATAAAGARGCACAGCTTTTTGAGAATAAAGGATTTCTTGGAACCAGCTAGAGGAATTCTCCATCCTTTGTTCCCCCCATTGTTACAGAACAGGGCACATATTCCCTCCTTCAGAAGCAAAGATTTTACAGGAAACAGTTATAACTGAGTTCTATTTAAGCCACTTCTTAATTCAGAAATTATTTTTTAAATATGTGAGCAAACTCCAGGAAAACACACAATGATGATGATTAGGATCTACCCAGTAAYATGAAAAAGTTCCTCAGAGAATGAGCTCTGTGCCACCCCCAGGGCACAGAAACCCCTGACCTGGTATTCAAAGGTGCAGCGCTGCTCCRCCTCCTCCTTGGGCATCCGAAGGTCCTCCAGGCTCTTGGCCTGGCTCAGAGGCTGGGGCTGGGCTTCTACTTCCAGCTTGGGGAAGATGTCTTCCAGGAGGTTGATTTCTGAGGCCTTGCTGGAGAGCAGAGGGCTCGGGGGCAGCGGCTCTCTCGGTTTCTCCGGGCTGCCCATGTCCTCCCCATCGGCACTGTCCGACTCCTTCAGGGCCCGGTACGGCTGAGGCCTGCCACAGAACCAGAAATCACCTTGCAAATGACCATATTTCTAATTCTTTGTTTTGAACACGATTTCCTAAGGAGCTGGATGAGCTACAAAGAGCTCCAGAGTGGCAAAGAGAGCTCAGAGAGCCCGGTGCAGAGCAGGCTGGGAGCAGTGCTGGAGGGCAGGGGCCATGCAGAGGGGACCTGGCACCCRAGGGTGCTCAGCAGGGCGAGTGGGAAACAGAGGAAAGCTGTGGTCATGCAGGCACAGCCAGGCWGGAGGGAGCTCTGGGAGCAGGGACAATGGGATACAGCTCCCCATGCCAACCGTCTGGGCTCCCCTCGGGGCAGGCACAGCCTCTGCACTCTGTGTTCAAGCACTGACACCCTCCTGCTTCGAGCTAACTCAGCACACAGCACAACTCACTGTTTTCCTGCAATAATTGGGAACACTGTGCAGGTTCCAATGATTTCATTGGTGTCATCTTATCAAGAAACACCACAATCCATTATGGAGACACYTCCTTTACATTCCCAGCTAAGGCTGAGTTAGCAGGATGCTTCTCTTGCACATACCTCAGCAAAAAACAGAACCAGCACATTTGCATTTTGGTGTGTGTACAGAGAACAGCAGCACGATGTGCATCCAATTAATAACAACAAGTGCCACACATGGCTGTAGGGATTGGCACTTGACTGGCAGCCAGTTGTACTGTGGCATTTAAACAAGCTTTCAATTAAAAGAAAATATTTGTGAGGCCTGCAAAAACACATCCTATGGAAGAGCCCTCCTCCTCTGTCCATATTTTATCATAATACATCTCTATCATGCAAATTCAGAGCCTGCTTCCCTCCCCACCACACACAGAGCAGGCGCTCAGGCAGCACCAGGACAATGACACTGCAGGGACAAGGCAGACAGTGACAGCACAAGGCCTCGGGGGATCTCGC